AATGAGGGAGGTATGGGGAAAGGCACTCAGACCTTTAGGCTGGGAGGTTTTAGGGTTCCCCTGGGCCCCCTTCTTCTCCTTCCTGTTCCCTGCTAGCCCCAGGGTGGAGGGAGCCAGCACCTGGCTAGACTTGACGGGCAGGGGTGGGGTGGGATAAGCAGGGATTCATCCCTTTGCTGCAGCACACAGAATTCCTGGAAAGCTGTTTATTTGACTAGCCCAGGAAGTCAGGTTCCAGCCAGGATGGAGATGGGGACCAATCGTCCCTACCCCCAAAGACTGGTCAGGAGGCTATGGTGACCAAGAGCCCAGATCACTCATCCTGGTGCTGATCTCAGTGTTGTTACTCATAATCTGAATGTCCTGGGACCCTATTGTCCTCATCTGTAAAATGGGCCTCCGATTATGTGGGCAACATCAGATCTATATGGTGTGCCTACACCTTGTTGTTGATATTAAGTGCCTTCTAGTCGGTTCCCTATCATAGTGACCCTGCATAGGGTTTCCAAGGCTGTAAATCTTTGCCAGAGCAGAAAAGTTCATCTTTCTCTCGTGGAGTGTCTGGTGGGTTCAAACAGCCAACCTTGTTCATAGCTTACCCTACAGAGCCACTGCTAAATACCCATTATTTCAAAGTCCTGTAGCCACTCTGTTAGGTCAGCATTATTAAGCCAGAATTTGAACCTAGGGCTGTTTACAATGAAAGAGCTCCATGCAGCTTTTGGCTCTGCGTTGGGAGATGGAGTGGGGGTAAGGAAAGGGAGGCTTGCAGCACAAGTGGGTGGAGGAGGTGGGAGCCAAGGAACTGAGGCACAGCTCCTGGGCTCAGGCGAGCTCTGCTCCATTTCCTGTGTGTCAGAGTGCAGAAGCTCTGGTCCCAGGCTCCCTGGTCTCAGAGATGCCATGTCAGCATCCTGCTCCAAGCTGGAGCCGCAGCCCCTCTGCCTGGCGGACCTCCAGATGGCCAGCAGAAGAGCATTGAGGTTGGCGGCCAGTTCAGAGATGAAGTCAGGGGGGTCAGTGAGGAAAGCCATGAAGAGCATTTGCGCAGACCCAGATCTGGCTCTGTCTCAGCCGCTTGAAAATATGATGGGTGACCTTGGGCGAATTCACTGAGCTTCACTGAGCTTCACTTCCCCACTTTTGGATGGGGGTAAGAGCAGGATTTTCCCTTGGAGATCTTAGTGAGGGGGCACAGAGGTGAAGGAGAAGATGTGAGCGAAGTCCTGGGTGTGGAAGCTATTGTTTCTAATGGATGAGACGCTGGACCGGGTAATAGACAAGCCGCTGCCAAGCCCAGCTTCATCCCTGCTGGCTGAGTGGGTTTGCGGAAGTCCCGTAACCTCTCTGAACTTCCCCATCCAAAGGCTGGGCTGTCAAGCTCATGAACGCAAAAGTCTCCAGGAGCCAGCAAGTTAAGGTCCATTTTAAATGGGAAATTTCCTAATGATTAACTATTGGCTGCTCACTTCAGTTTAAGACACAAAAGGCACATGGGCCAGAACATGAACTCTTGGTGCTCAGGCTAAGGGAAGAGACCATCGCCAGGCCAAGAACCACAGCAGTTCGTGGTCTCCAAGCCCAATTGACCACACTCACCAACTCCTTCCACCCTCCTGGCACCCTCAAAGTACAGACATAGGCCCATCTTACAGAGAGAACAACTGAGGTTCAGAAAGACTCAGAAAATTGCCCCAGCTCACAGACCTGGAATTCAGAGCTGGGTGTGTCTCACTCCAAACCTTGTACTCCTTCTGACTCCTGTGGCCCCAACACGTATGCACGATGCACCTCAACATCTCCCCCCAGAACTCGTCTCTTTACACTCAGGCAGTGTGCTCTGGCTTTGATATTTCACTGGTGACCATAACTGGAACTTCTAGCTGGGGGCATGCCTAGCACATTCACACCTTCACAGAAATCCTAGCCCTGAGAAATCCCACATCTTTTCTGAGTTAGGGGTGTTGTGATGGAGTGGAGGACAGTGGGGTCTGGGGCATGGCAGGATGATTGCTCCCTTGACAGCGGAGACCTGATACAGCCAGGGGTTCTGCCCAGCATGCACCATGTACACCTTGCCGCAGGATCTAACAGGGCACGCAGCTGGCATCGGCCATCCCAGCATGTCAGCCTGTGCCAGGTGAGCAGAAAAGAGGGCTGCTGGCATTGTTTATTGGAATCCTGGCAAGGTAGGGACAAGCTGGGACATGTGTGGTCAGGTGTCCAGGTCCATCTCATCAGGAGCTAGGGCCACCTGGGGCATGCTGGGTAGCATGGTGCTCACTTGAGCAGCCTGTCAACAGATTTTCAGAAAACTGCTTTGAGGCCGTGTACCACCTGCAGAGGGAGCATGGTGACTCCATAGGATAAACACTGGATTATGAACCTCAGGTTCGGTAGTTTGAGCCCACCAGCCACTTCCTGGAAGAAAGATGAAGCTTTCTGCTCCCACAAAGATTTTAAAAGCCTTGGAAACCCTATATAGGGTCACTATGAGTTGGAACAGACTGGAGGCACTTAGTAGCAACAACAACCTGCAATAAGACCCATGGGTGTGTGGAGCCAACAGCCTGGGCTCGAGTCCTGGAAGGTGGGTGTATTAGCTGTCGTATTGTTATTGTTGTTAGGTGCCATCAAGTTGGTTCTGACTCATAGTGACCCTGTGCCCAGCAGAAGGAAGCATTGCTCGGTCTTGCACCAGACTCAATTGTTGTTATAGTTGAGTCAGTTGCTCCAGCCACTGTGTTGCTCCATCTTGTTGAGGGTCTTCTTTCTCACTGACCCTCTACTCTACCAAGCATGATGTCCTAACCCAGTGTTAGCTGTGGCATGGCTGTGTACCATGCCCCAACAATCTCAGCTACAAATCAGCGGTCCTAACTGCACCCGCCTTGTGGCGTTCTGTGGAGATAGTAAGTGGATTCAATGAGGTCATAAAAAGGGACTTCAAAAAGAAAATGGAATGAAAAGAGAATGGAGTTTTTCCACGGACTTTTTGAAGCCCCTCTTGCTTATGCAAAGTGCTGACAACCATGCCTGGTGCAGAAGAGCAAGTCAGGTTGGATGAAGCCCTTCTCAGTTTAGCACCGCCCTCCCATCACCATGACAACCTCATCTCCCTGTGGGAGTAGGGGCATCAGCAGCAGCATCAGGGCCCTGCTCGGCCCTGCTTCTTGAGGGTTCCCTGCCCTGGAAACTAGCTAGACAACCTTGTCTGGACCAGGTACCCCAACTTCATAGCTCCAAAGGCCTGGCCAGATGTGGAATGATCCCAGGGTCCTGAAATGCTGAATCCCAACCTCCTGTCCCTAGAATGCTTCCAGGGGCAGCAAATTGGAGGGTCACAGCCTATACCTGGACAAGGTACCATCATAAGTTTTGTGAGTTGGTTGTATCATTTGAAAAGATCAAGAAACTGCTCATAAAGTTATTTTTCAAATTATTTTTCTTAAAGAAAAGCCAGAGGTACATCCCAGATGTTTGCCTTCTGGGATGGGGTGGGAGATCTGCCCTTGGGAGAAGGGTAGGGGAGCATCGCAGTACCTGTACCCCCTCTCCATCCCTTCCCTCCCCTCACTTATCCCTTTAATGTACTTGCTCAGCCCTCCAGACCTTGGAACCACCTCTGTGCACTGCAAGGGAATGGAGAGGCTGGAGAGCAGGATTATCTGTCCTGTGCTCCTTGAGCAGAGACTGTTACAGCCCCAACAGCCCAGTTCTCTTTCCCGCTTTCAAACCTCCCTTTCCCATCGAGAGCATGTTTATAAATAGAATTTACTTCTTAGCAACAACAGTCATCAAACATAAGCAGTCACCTGGGTTCAGGAAATGGCTTACATGACTCCCCAGAGCTACTAGAACAACTTCTTCAGACCTCGAACCAGAAAAGAAAGAAACTAAACCCAGCCCACTGCCATGAGTTCATTCAGACCCATAGTAAGTCTGCAGGGCAGAGTAGAACTGCCTCAGAGGGTTCCCAAGGCTGGAATCTTTGTAGAAGTAAACCACTGGCCTGAAGGTTCAGAGTCAAGAGATTTAACCACTGAATCAGGGCTCCTAGATTTAAGACAGACTCTATACTCGACACACTATAGGTTAAGCACCGGACTGAGAACCACAAGGTCGGAAGTTCAAACCCACCAGCTGCTCCTCGGAAACCCTTTACAAGGTTGTTATGAGTTGGAATAGAGGGGCATGTAACAACAACAATATTAATACTGTCTCATTAACATAACAAAGAAGCCCCATTCCAAATGTGATTATAGCCCTATGTTGTTGTTGTTATGTGCTGTGGGGTTCTGACACATAGCGACCCTGCACAGGGTTTCCGAGGCTGTGAATCTTTACAGGAGCAGAAAGACTCGTCTTTCGCCTGTGGAACAGCTGGTAGTTTCGAACTGCTGTCCCTGAGGCTCGCAGCCTGATTCGTAACCACTACGCTACCGGAGCTCCTTATAGCCCTATAGGATGGAGTAGAATTGCTCCTATAGGATTTTCTAGGCTGTAAATCTTCAAGAGAGCAGATCTCCAGGTCTTTTCTCCCAGGGAGCCACTGGGTGGGTGGATTTGAACCACTGATCTTTTAATTAACAGACAAATGCTTCTCCATTGAGCCACCAAGGCTTCTTATTTGGAACATATGCATACTAACAAATAATCTGAAATTCAGATAATTCCAGATAAACAACAAATAACCTATAATAACACATAATATGGCCCATATAATATTTGGAATAAACTTATACTACAAAATCATGTGAAATGTAAATTTAGCCGGCTGTCCTATGTTTCTTTCAGTGCTGGCATGAAGTCTTATGGTGACTGAAAGGACCTTTAAATGCTGTTTTTCAAAAACACGTTTCATTGTCCGGACTCCCCTCACAGCTGAGTAGGCGCACACCTATGCCAGGGTGGCCGCCTGGCATAGGTGACTGGCATACAGGGTCGGGGTGGGTGGTCCTGCACAGCCTTCTTTGTTGACTCTCTTTTCTCTTCCAGACCCAGGCGCTGCAGTGGGCATCATGGCCGTGGACATAGCAGAATACCACCTGAGCGGTGAGTCCCAGTGACCAGTCTGTCCCCTCTACCACACCATCTTCAGGACCTTGCACATGCAGCAGGGAGAATGGCCCCATTTTACTGATAAGGACAATCAATTACCCAGAGTCACATAACCTAAGAGACACCAAGCTTGGGTCAGTCTGAGACAGCATCTTTCCTTTCTAGTGGGTCTTTCTGGTTGACTTGTGGGACTTCTGGAGACCTTTGTCCTGGTGCCCCTTGAGGATGAGTTTGTGACATGGGATCCATTCATCCAGGGCCATTTCTGGAGCCTAGAGAATAACCAAGGAAATCCAGGAAGCCTGAAGTTAGATTCATGGAACATTAAACTCAGAGAGTACCTAGTCCCAGAGGGCAAATATCTGGTATGCAGTTCCCACCTTCCCATCTGGTGCCATGGCAGGCATAACTAATTGAACATTGAGCTTAGAGATGGCCTGGAAACAGGCATGCCCCTGCAGCTCTGTTAATCAATGGCGGATGGTGTCAGAGATGAAACAGACATGCTCTCCCCTTTTACAGATGGGAGAAGTGAGGCTCAGCCAGGGGAAGTGACAATAAGTGGGTGACAGCATCAGGACAAGAACTAAGGTCTCCTTACTCCCAGCCTTGGGCTCTCCAGATCTGACCCTCACTGGTCCCCAGCCAGCCAGCCCAGTGCTCAGCTGAAAGCTGTATCAGGACCACTACTCCCAATCCCATCTCCCTCCCCCACCAGAGACCCCCACTTCTCTCCAATGATGAGACCTCTCTGAGCTTCTACTTCCTCATCTGTAAAATGGGAACAATGAAGGCTTCCTCAAGGGACACTGGGAAGATTCAGTGAGCTAACACATACATAGAACCGGCGGCCCCAACCCAACTCTCTCCCAGCTTCAGGCCTTTGTGCAGGCCTGGCTACGTCCTCTAGTCTAGTATGGAGGGTTCAAGTGTAGATCTATAGCTGGACTGTCTGGTCTGTTTCCTCAGAGATAAAATGGGGACATCTTTAACAAACCTACCTTCCAGGATTGCTCTGAAGACTCCTCAGTGGGTTAATATATGTAAAGTGCTTAGAACAAACAAAGCCCACTGCTGTCTAGTCAATTTCCACTCACAGTGACTGTACAGGACAGAGTAGACCCGCCCCCGGAGGGTTTCCAAGGCTAGAAATCTTTACAGGAGCCAACTGCCTCATCTTTCTCCTGGGGGAGCCATTGGTGGGTTCGAACTGCCGACCTTTTGGTTAGCAGCCAAAGGGGCTTAACCACGGCACCACCAGGGATCCTTGCTTAGAACCCAAAAACCAAACCCAACCCACAGCCATAAATTGATTCCAACTCATAACCACCCTTAAAGGCAGTGTGGAACTGCTCCTTAGGGCTTCCGAGAGTGTAAATATTTACGAGTGCAGACAGCCTCATCTTTCTCCTGCAGAGGGGCTGGTGGATTGGAAACACCAACCTCGGGGTTAGCCGCCCGATGTTTAATACACAGTATCACCAGTGCTCTCTTGCTTAGAACAGGGCCTCAGAGATAGTAAACAGTAACTCTATGAGAGTTATGACTGTTATTACTATAATTTATTCTGATATCTTAGTTTAGACCTCACTTCCCCTGGGAATGCCACCCATACCACCTCAAGTCTGCCACTCAATAAAATGAAGACATAAATGAACATTAATTGTCCTGATTTAATACCCCCTTTCTGGGGTTTTCTCTGACTTCTGAAGGGCCTGGACTTGGTCCTTTTGTGCTCCAGCCCTGTCCTCCTCTGCCAACCACACAGCTGGCTTCTGTCCCACTGTGTCCTGGGTGCTGTCCGACACCCCATCCATGCCGAGCACCTGCTTGGACCTCAGCCTCTGCTCCCGCCCACAGACTAGCCCCTTTCTGGAGTCCAGACCCAGCTGTTGCAGCATGTCCCTCTCAGCAGGGGCCCTCACGTGTGCTGCTTACCCATCACTGAATCACCCACCTCCCAGAACATTCCCGTGCCTTGTCAAGCCACAGATTGCTTTGTTGTGGTTTTTGTGAAGCCCACAAATTACATTCCATCAACAAGAGATGTCAGGCGCAAATAGGATTTGCTCACAGTCCCTCCATCCTTATTAGCCGCTGGTTTTGTTTGTCCCTGTTCCCCGCACCCCCTCAGGCCCTCTCTTTTATTGCTTTCTAATTTATCACATCATATCGTGTTGGGGGGCGATGTCTTTTTTTTCTTAACAAAGCCAGAAACATTTGTCCACGTTGCCAAGGTACTGTCCTGTGACCTCAACTGTCACTCCCCAGACAGCACCACCAGCCCCCACCAGTCCCCGCAGTCAGACCTTCAGTCTGTTTCCAAATTTCTGTTGTTTAAATACAGCCTGGAAGACTCAACACCAGACAGAAAAACAAACAACTGGTTGGGACTTCTTTTCCCAGAGTGGGATCACTTGGCAGGTGGGGAGGAGCCGGAGGCAGGACGTGTCCTTATCCTCATCTCTAGTTTCCAAAACTGAAGCCCAGAAAGGCTTATGGGAGCCCAGGTGATAAGTATGGTTAGTAAATGTGGCTGAAGGCTGGGTTCTGCCCCTCTCCCGAGTTTGTGTTGTGGATTCCGGTGAGAGTTGGCTGAGGCCCCCTTGCAGTGTAGCTCCCACCCATGATTCTGCCCTGTGCAGCCGGAATCACAGTGTTCAGAAGGCAGTGTGAAATTTCTTCTCCAGCCCGAAGTACCCCCCTCCCCTCTCCCACTGGAGAGGGGAGGGGGGTACTTGGGGCTGTTCTCTCTGGCTTTTGACACGCCCTTCAGTCTTTCTGTCCTGAAGTCTCAGTGGCTGCCATTGCCTTAGTCTTGCACACTTCTTTCTCCTTCATAGCTCAACTTAGATGTTCCTCCTCCAGGAAGCCCTCCTAGGCTACTCCCAACTCGATTCCCATCACTCTGTTTTCTCTGTGTGCCCCAAACTGTGAGCTACCTAAGGACAGGGAATGGGGGCTAAGGCCAACTCACCCACCACATCTCTCTGTGGCCACAGGATGCTGGCACACAGCAGGCACTCAATGGATGAACCATGAAAAAGCTCCACCCCTGAAATGCTTTTCCCATTTCTCCCCACCCTGCTTACTCAGGAACCACACCTGCTCCCGGGGGTGGGGGGTCTGTAGCCATTGGCTGGGGGTTGAGGGTCCCTAGAACTACTGATGAGGGCTGCCCTTGCCTTGCAGTTATCAAGAGCCCCCCTGGCTGGGAGGTGGGCGTCTACGCTGCAGGGGCCCTGGCGTTGCTCGGAATCGCAGCTGTGAGCCTATGGAAGCTCTGGACATCTGGGAGTTTCCCCAGCCCCTCCCCATTCCCAAACTATGACTACAGGTACCTGCAGCAGAAGTATGGCGAGACCTACGCGAAGGCCCGGCAGAAGGTGAGGGCGTCCTCTAGCGCATGCGCAGTCCATTCTCAGGAGGGACTCAATGTCTTCCCAACCCCAGTTCCTTCTTGGTGAATTTCCTCGCTGCAACAGCCAGCCCACCCTAGTGCAATCCCACAGCTCCAATTCCTAGCCCTGGGCTGTGTGGTTGTTAAGTGCCACTTGGTCAGTTCCAACTCATAGCAACCCTGTATATTCCGCAGAGTGGCTATTGGGTTTGAACTGCCGACCATGAGATTAACAGTCCTGTGCTTATTCTATTGCTGTTGTTGCTAGCTGCCATCGAGTCAGTTCCAATCCACAGGGGCCCTGTATAGGGTTTCCAATGAGCGGTTGGTGAGCTTGAACCACCAACCTTGTAGATCAAAACCAGCTTTACAGTCCAGTGCATTAACCCACAGCACCACACCAGGACTTCAGTGTTTTTTCTACAGCATCCTTATTGTTGTTGTTTTTAAGTGCCGTGGTCAGTTCTGACTCCTAATGTCCCTGTGTAAGGTTTCCAAGAAGTGGTTGGTAGGTTTGAACCACCAACCTTGTGATTAGTATAGTCCAGTGCTTATCTTAAAGCAAAACACCCTAGACTAATATTTACAGAAGCAAATCATCACATCTTTCTCCCAGAGTTGCTGGTGGTTTCAAACCTCCGACTTTTCAGTTAGCAGCCAGGTGCTTAACAGTTGTGCCATCAGGCTGCCTAGTCCTGTCCTAGGTCTCCAAGAAATATTTGTAGAATGAGCAAATGCTTCCTGTTTTCAAAACCTCCCATGAAAAATACAGCAAAGGACAAATAAACAGCCAGAATATATCACCACCTAAAGGCAAATAATACCACTCGGCCAACTGATTAAAAGAGAACCGTATTTGTGCCCATTCCAAAGAGAGGTGACCCAGTGGAATGTGGAAATCATCGGACAATCTCTTTGATATCCCATAAGAGTAAAGTTTTGCTCAAGGTAATACAGAAACGGCTACAATCATACATTGACA